AAGCATAGGCAATGACCTGGCCGTCCTGCATAAGTACACATCCCAGTCCCTACTTCGAAGCATCGCTGAAAATGGTGAAACTCCTCGAAGGATCGGGAATAGTCAACAACGAGCAGTCCATTCGAACTTCACAGACATCCTCGTCAGCTGGGATAGCAGGAGGGCAATCTTAGAAAAGCCCTCGATGAACCTACGGTAATAGCCAGCTAAACCGAGAAAACTGCGAACCTCGGACGGACTCTTCGGTGTCGACCAGTTCTGAACAGCTGAGACCTTAGAAGGATCCACCTCGATACCTGCCTAAGTAATCACATGACCCAGAAAAACTACTCGCGGGAGCCAGAACTCGCATTTGGAGAATTTGGCATATAGCTTTTCTCGTCTGAGGGTTTCAAGAACCACCCTTAGGTGCTCCTCGTGCTCCTTCTGGCTCTTCGAGTAGATAAGAATATCGTTAATAAAGACAATAACAAACTGATCGAGGTAGGGATGGAAAATACGGTTCATCAGGTCCATGAAAACTGCTGGAGCATTGCTGAGGCCGAATGGCATAACAACGAACTCGTAATGGCCGTAACGAGTCCTGAAAGCGGTCTTAACGATATCTGACTCCTTAATCTTCAGCTAGTGGTAGCCTGATCGTAAATCAATCTTTGAAAACACACAGGCTCCCCTCAACTGATCAAATAAGTCGTCGATCCTGGGAAGCGGATACTTGTTCTTGATCGTCAACCTGTTAAGATCCCGGTAGTCAATACACATCCGCATGGATCCGTCCTTCTTCTTGACAAAGAGAACGGGTGCTCCCCAAGGTGACACGCTCGGTCAGATGAAACCGAGTCGTAATAACTCCTGAATCTGCACCTTAAGTTCCTGCAATTCCTTCGGCGCCATATGGTACGGGGCTTTGGATACAAGGCTGGCTCCTGGAATGAGATCGATAGAGAACTCCACCTGTCGGTTAGGCGGTCATCCTGGAAGCTCGTCTGGGAACACGTCCACAAACTCACGAATAACTGGAACATCATGAGGTGATCGTGCTTTCTAAGAATCATCGGCAAGTCTCACCAGAAAACCCTAGCAGTTGCCTCGTCGCAGCAACTTGGTAGCTTTCGCCATTGAAACGACCTGGGGTAATGAACGATTCTTGCTGCCAAAGAAGGTAATCAAATCGTCTCCCAGAAGATAGAGAGTAATCTCTCGGTCATGACATCTGATATCTGCACGATAAAAGGATAGCCAATCCATCCCGAGAATGAGGTCGAAGTCCCTCATCTCAAGAACATACGAGTCGGTAGAAAATGAACGACCACCGATGGAAAGGCTGAGATCTGAAGCTTTTGCTGAAGTCACTATCTTTCATCCCGAGGCTAAACTCACCTCGAGAGGATCGACAACGGTAATGGCATGAACTCTGATGGCATCAAGGCATCGTCGTGAAATAAAGGAGTGCGTCGCTCCAGTATCGAACAAAGCGAAAACAGGAATATTATTAAGCATGATCATTCCTGACATAGTCTCTGGCTGCTGCTCGGCCTCGACCTGATCGACTGCATAGACTCGGGACTGCTGTCTGCCCCTCTGTTGCTGCTGCTGTGGTGGCCTCTGAGCCTGCTGACGGGGCTGCTGCTGCTGCTGTGGCTGCTGAGGCTGCTGGGGCTGCTGTGCCTTCTTCGGACAACGGTTAGCAAAGTGTCCGGGCTCGTGACAGTAATAGCATACATCCTGACCAAAGCGACACTCGCCTCGGTGAAGTCGTCCGCATGTGGGGCACTGTGGGATCTGTTTCTGCCTCCTGCGAGTCCTCCTGTCAGTCTGTGCGCCCTTGCCCTTCCTCTTGTTGTTCTTCGGTGGCTGAATAGCTGGCAGGGCTGACATCGGTGGAACTGAAGATGACTGGGTAGGGGCGGATGGCTGAGGACGATCACGGACGACCTCCCTGCTGATGCTGGCGTCCACCTCATGGGCAATCGAAACAGCACGAGCATACGTCTGGGTCCCGTGACCTACAATATTATGACGGACTGCTGGGTAAAGCCCGTTAATGAAGTGTTGTGCCCTCTGTGCCTCCGTACGAACCAGGTCCAGAACAAAACCTGCAAGTCTGGTAAACTCCCTCTCGTACTCGTCAACAGAACGAGTACCTTGCTGGAGCGATAAGAACTGACGCTCCATCTCTGCCCTGTAATAGATGGGGTAGTACTTCTCGCGGATCAGCTCCTTGAGCCTATCCCATGTACATCCCTCTTTTTTGCCGAGACTCATGCTCCAGTAGGCATTCCACCAGAGTCGGGCATCGCCGGTTAGCTGAAGCTGAGCGCAGATTAGGCGAAATCTGTCTGGACAATCCATGACCTCGAAGATTAACTCAAGGCCCTGAATCCACTCGTCCACGATACAGGAATCTCCGTGCCCGGAGAATTTCTCAGCATGATAGTCGCAAAACTGTGCGACTACTGTGGCCTGAGTAAGAGCCGGGTGACCGGGTTCCCTACGGGGCAGCATCTGAACATTGAGAAAGTTTAACATTATTGAACACGTGATAATATTCTGACTGATTACTAATGCATACAAATCTCTTGACGAGTTTCCAAAAGTGGCCGATAAATACTGACATGAATCCTGAGGAACTCTAGAGTCATATCGGAAGATACTGAACTCTAAAGTCACATCTGAATATACTGAATTCTAAAGTCTGAATTTGATTCGAGCATCTTAACTAAGTCCTGATAAATAATTTCTGAGCAAAGACAAAGTAATATGTTTATAACTGAAAACATAAATCAACACTTACCTGTAGTCAGCGAGGCGTGAGCGTGACGGTTCAGGTTTTTTTGAAAATTACTGACTGAAAAACTTTTCAGAGACGCAGAAACTGTTGGTGTTATATACTTAAGCTTTGCTTTAGTGGATATTACACTTGTTATTCCTTGATGAATGAGAATTATGTTTGGTTAAATAAGTTCCACGTTCTGTTGTTTTGCATGTAGATAAGTGGGTCGTCATCGGGCGTACCGAAGATCACTATATCAGTAACTTGCGAAATAAGAATCGTTGGTTCACAACCTAGATGGAATTGAACAACCCATCG